TGGCAATAAAGATGAGGACAATAGTCCGAATAGTATAAATAGTGTACATAATACCTCATCTCAGAAATATAGACAGATAATGAAGGGCCGAAATGTTGTAATAAATATGGCAATAAAGATGAGGACAATAGTCCGAATAGTGTAAATAGTGTACATAATACCTCATCTCAGAAATATAGACAGATACTGAAGGGCCGAAACGTTGTAATAAATATGGCGACAAAGATGAGGACAATTGTCCGAATAATGTAAATAGTGTACATAATACCTCATCTCAGAAATATAGACAGATACTTTTTTTGAAATGTTGTAATAAATATGGCGACAAAGATGAGGACAATTGTCCGAATAATGTAAATAGTGTACATAATACCTCATCTCAGAAATATAGACAGATACTGAAGGGCCGAAATGTTGTAATAAATATGGCAATAAAGATGAGGACAATAGTCCGAATAGTGTAAATAGTGTACATAATACCTCATCTCAGAAATATAGACAGATACTGAAGGGCCGAAATGTTGTAATAAATATGGCAATAAAGATGAGGACAATAGTCCGAATAGTGTAAATAGTGTACATAATACCTCATCTCAGAAATATAGACAGATACTGAAGGTCCGAAACGTTGTAATAAATGTGGCGACAAAGATGAGGAGAATTGTCCGAATAATGTAAATAGTGTACATAATACCTCATCTCAGAAATATAGGCAGATTTCTTTATTATTTTCAAATTTCACAAATTTCATTTTTAAACTGCGTCCTAGAGTTTGAAATATTCTACAAGTGCGTCCTGAATTAAGAATCCTTAAGAAACACTTCTCTACTGTAAACTGGTGTATTTTGTTTTACTCTCATGTAAACTGGATCTTGTTATAAATTATCATTCTGTTTCTTTTCGTTTTCATATTCGAATTTTTGTATAAATTGTTACGCAAAGGAATTCTGGGTGATAAACACTGTGGTGTTTGTTTTAAACAGAATACACTGACGCGTGTCATTTTATAACTTTTAAACAATGACTTTGTGTAAGAATTATTATTACACCATAGATCTCTTCCTTCCATCAACATCGCTGATGCTAACCTCCAGGGAAGTAAATCGTTGCGCTTACTCTGGCTAACATTCTTAGCTGACATGAAGTGGAAAGTCTATATTGAATCCATTGCTAGGTCAGCTGCTAAGAAAGTTAGTTCACTGTGTCATCCGTCCTGGGTATGACGATAAACTACATCCGCGCCCTGGGTAAGACAATAAACTACGTTCGCGTCCTGAGTAAGACGATAAACTACATACGACAGCAAGGCCTTTGATCAGAAGGCTTTGAGGAGCGTGGAACCACCTCTTAATTGCTGGTGTTCTCACGTCTACCTTGACCCAGTGTGGTAGCACCTGTTAGGGTCTCAGCTATGGGCAAATAGGTAACCCACCAAAAGGGATCAAACTACCATAAAAGTATAAAAACAGATTTTAATACCAGCAATACTTTTTTGGAAAAAATTTTCGCCAGCAATACATTTTTGAAAAAAAAATATTACCAGCAATATATTTTTGAAAAAAAAAAAAACACTAATAAAAATGTTGTTTGCATTAAATAACCCATTGAGGTGTTGATATGCCGTAAAACAAAACAAACCAAACTAATCACTGGGTCGTGTAAGACAATTTTTCTCTCTAGAATCTCTCTTACATATTTATAAGTTTACCGTTAATCCATGCTTAGGATACTGCTGACTCATCTGGTCCACTGACCTTGCTATTTACCTTGAGCTCCTTGATAAAATCCTAAGAAAAATCTGCAATATTATTGGTCCTAACCTAGTGGCTCGGCTTCAGTCACTTTCCCATCGCCGTATGGTTGTCTCTCTGTGTCTTTTCTAGAAATACTTTCATGGTAATTGTTCGGATGAGTTCTTCGCTATGTGGTATCTAGACTTTTTGAACAAGTGCAGCACTAGACTGGCGTCGAGATCTCACCAATTTACAGGTTAGATGTAACCGTAAATTCTATGCTAACAGTTTCTTTTCTCGCACTTCTCGCTTGTGATTCCATGCTTCCCAGCCAACTTTAATTTTCAAAAAATGAAATGCAAGGCCAATCGCTATCTACTATCCATCTGATTACTCTTTTCTCTTCACGCTCATTATTAATGTTTCTGTTCATAATTTTTCCACACCCAGTAACCCCTTGTGTCTTAGTGGCTTTAATCCCTTGCATGGGGTGATATCCATTAAAAAAAAAAAAAAAGTCTATGTTTATTCTAGTGTAAATTTGAATCTATGCGTCCGTATTTATTTTTAACTCTGGTGTAGCGATTTTCCAAACGTAGCTCGGATGTGGCATAAGGCCGAATCTATGGGGCGCCCAGTGAGGATCGAACTCACTACTCAGTCGAAATTGTTCTAGCGAGACAAGCTTGCTGACCATTACACCACCTCGAGGTGTCCTAAGGATTTTCTAAGCGAGGCTTAGATGTAGCACAAGGGCGAAAGTATTGGGCACCCAGTGAGGATCGAACTCAATACTCTATCGTAATTAAATTAGCAAGACAAGCTTTGTAACCATTAGACCACCCCGAAGTGTATACCAGTCTGATGTCTACTTTCTGGTTCCAGACTGTTGGAAGTCCTCATCCATTGTTCCTGTCTTTAAGAACTCTGGTGACCCTTCTGACCCTTCTAATTACCGTCCTATCAGTCTCCTACTCCTCTTCGGCAAAGTCTTCGAAGCTTTAATCAACGCCGAAGTGGTTAAGCACCTTACATCCCATGATCTGCTCTCCGACAAGCAATATGGTTTCCGCTTTGCCCGTTCTACAGCTGATGTGCTTAAGACCATCACTGAAATTGTTTACCAAGCCCTTCATAATAACGGAGAAGCTCGTGCCGTGGCTCTAGATATCTCCAAAGCGTTTGATAGGGTTTGGCATGCCGGCTTTCTTTGCAAGCTTCAGGCTTATGGAATTTCAGGTCGATTGTTTGACTTAATACAAACATTCCTATCAAACCGTGTATTGAATGTCATTCTCAACGGATTCTCCTCCAGCTCCTATCCGACGAACACAGGTGTTCCCCAAGGCTCTATCCTAGGCCCTACTCTGTTCCTTATCATAGGTTTCCAAGTAGGCATCTACGCGGACGACACTACAATTTACTCCTGCCTCAAAAACAAATCCAGTGTCGCTGGCAAAACTAACCCGACAGTTCGTCTCGAAAAGGACCCCCAATCGGTTGGGAACTGAGGCAGGAAATTGCTAGTTAACTTTAACGCTTCAAAAACAGAACTGCTCTCTATTAATCACCATAGAGATCCTTCCCTGCCCCCTCCCCATTAGAATGTCTGACGCTCAACTTCTCGAGAGCACCTCTTCGCGGCTGCTTGGTCTTACATTGACTGCTGACCTGAGATGGAACAAAATACATTGAGTCAATTGCTTCGTCCACCGCAAGGAAAGTTGGCTCCTGTGCCACGCTAGGAAATTTTTCTTGCCGGAGTCGATCCTTCAAATCTACAAATCAACCATTCGCCCTTGCATGGAGTATTGCTGCCATATATGGTCCGGTGCCCCTTCTGTTTGTCTCAAGGTTCTTGATAAGATCCAGAGACGGATATGCAATGTAATTGGACCTTATCTGGCACCTCATCTGCAGTCGCCTTCTCACAGACGTGCCGTCGCCTCCCTCTGTGTGTTTTTGACAAATACTTTCACGATAACTGCTCCGATCAGTTGCTTTCTATGTTTCCCAGGCTTCGTGAATTTAAGCGTTCCACTAGGCTGGCATCTCTCTCTTACCCTTTCAATGTCGAAACTGTTAAATGTAGCCGTCTCTTCTAGTCCAATAGCTTCATGTCTCGCACCTCTGGCCTGTGGAACTCTCGCCCCTTTTCCTGTTTCCCTGATAGCTATAATCTCCAACTATTCAAATGTAATGTCAATCAACGTCTCTAGATGCCTTGATCTATCCCCTATCCTTCTCTTCATCCTTTCCTTTATCACTCCTATTTGCTTTCGCTCCAACTCTCTGTAACCCCTTGTGTGCTAGTGGTTTCCCGCCTTGCTTGGGTTGAAACGCTTAAAAAAAGTGTAAACCAGATTTATATCCACCATCTGCCTACAATGTATACTGTACTATATTAAATATTTGAGACAATCTATCGTGAACTTAGTTCTATAATACTTATACTGATTACATGAATAATTATATTGTTAAATTAAGGAAGCAAATATAGACATTTTTGAACAGCTTCTGGATTCGTGTGATGGTCAATATTGTATCTACCGACATGTAAGAAGTATATTTTTAAAAGGACTCAAAATCAGTTGATTATTTTTAGGTTTAGCAGGTACCAGCGTTCTCCTCACGGCATTCATCATCTAAAATAATGATACATGATCCGAAGTCAGAGAGGTCTATAGCGTCGTACCGTATGTCAGATTTTTTATTTGTTCGAACCATTATTTTCTGTCATGGCTCAAAATAAGCGGTCCAGTTTTTTTTTCTTCGAGACGATATGCGAGGTGGATTTGTTTTTCGAAGTTACATTCTTCTAGACTTTGCCTAAAGAGACAGGACGTAAAATGTTTCTTACTCTTCGGCTGGTTGCCAACCAAGGCTATATGGCTCAGTATGCCCTGCTATTTACCCATAAAGAAGACATAGATTCATACCTTCCCCAAAGGTAATATCACGAAGTGCATCAAACTCGACTGGAATTCAAACTCAACAGGCAGGACCTACAAGACATTCAGAGTTTTCCTCCTGATTGGTTTCCAACCAATATTATACGGCTAAGTCTGCCCTCCTATTTACCTATGGCTGGCAGGGAGAAGAGATGACTTCATACCCTTCCCAAAGGGTATTTCCACGTAAGTGAATGTGATGGACTAGACTGGAATTCGAATATGGCTCTCCCCTACATCAATCTGAGCTGCTCCACAAGTATATAAAAAAAAGTATAAAAATAAGAAAAAAAATCATCTTTTATTGATACAATCT